TAATAATAATAATAATAATAATAATAATAATCAAAAATTTTAAAAGGTGCAAATGAACAGATGAGACAAAATTGCAATGGCTCTGCTTCTTGCTTCATTTTAGATTACAAGGAGTATTCACTGTCTTTACATTCAATGGATGTTCACTCATGAATTACTCTCCATCACATATGCTGCAACTTTTTAACAGTTTTTGCACCAACATTATAGTTGGCTTTTGGTATGTTACTCGCATCAAGTTAAACAACAAGAGTGACGTAGACCAGCGGTGTACACACAGTTTTTCAGTATGCGAGCTAGAGCTACTTCCAAACTGACCTATTCCAAAGGATCTACCTATTTTATTCAAACTTAAAATTCTTTATATGTCCGGATTGTGTCGTGGTGTACTTTGCAGTATTCCATGAACCCATATATGGGCGCAATGCGGCCTACAACAGGTGGATATCAAGTGGCAAATTTCATAACAGTTGACAGGTGAGAGTGTACTTTTTTTTTAACCCATTTAAGTCTGTGGACAGGGAGCTATATCAATGCAGTAGTATAAAACTGGGAGTGCCGGCAGTGATTTGAGTTAATGCCATGAGAGCTTCTACATGGGGACACCCCTGATTTAGAGTGTGGGGACGATGTGATGCTTTGGTCAGTTTGGAAGGAATTTGTGCCAAGCGATATGGATGCGTCATATGAAGTGACAAATTTGGTTCTTTGCCCATTTCGCTGTGGTTTGCAAATGTGAACTCGGAGAAGCATCTCGTCGCCAGCAACCAATCGGGATCGAGAATGTACTGACTACATCACAAGCACAAACACAGACATACATCATGGTGAAATAAAAACGATGTTGGACAATATTATTGCGCTCTGTAGGACCATTAGGGAACACGACCAGCTTCCAATAGGATCAAAAAAAAAGGAGTAAACTTGGGAGAGTGGGGAGGGAGGAAGTTGCCATATCTGGTGAGTGTATTTTCTTGTTTTCAGCTGTTGAACTGTTAACCTGCAGCATATGGCCGTTTACTATACTGCTACACGATGTTACGGCAGTGTCGCAAAGCATTGGTTGGTTGAGTGACGACTCACACCTGTTATGTCAGTTGAATAAAGACCGTTGAAAAAGTAAGTTGTGTCCTCACGTTTCGGACACAACAACACCAAGATAGTATTTAGCAGCCAATGTAGCACAAGCACCAGACTGAGCAATATTCCAACTTTTTTTCTGTCTGAGGAGAAGGAGGAGCTGCTCCCTCCTCTTCTCTGCTTGAAGCAAAGCCACCTTTCGTTCCCCTGCGAACAAACACATCCGAGACACAGGGGCAATGCGATATTACGTATTCGGTCAAAACCCAGCATTAGAGCCTTCCCCACATTGATCTATTCCCCAAGCATGCAGGCAGAGAGTCAGCCGCCAAATTGTGGACATAAGTACATTTCATGAGCACAAATAAGATCCGCCCATCACAATATTTGTTGAAGGCTATGTTCACACTGCAGCTCAGTTTTAATTTTTTTGCTGCAGTGTGACCAGTATCACGGCTAAATTAGTGTGGGTCCTTGGGCAAGATCCTTCACGCTATGCCTACCTCATACAATGATGAGAGACAATAAAATGAATGACATGCCGGCTCAGACGTCGCCCGGCCAAACAAGGTCTGCGTCAGGTGCTGGGGAACCAGAGCGCCTTGATGAAA